TTCATTAAATAAAAGTTAAAAAAAAAACTGAAAGAAAAAAAAAAGAGCACAGATTTGTGTCCCAGCGGCTCCTCTTCTCATCCAGCTCTCTGATTATGGCCTGGGAAAGCAATGGAAGATGGCCCAAGTCCTTGGGACCCTGCACCCTTATGGGAGACCAGAAGCTCCTGGCTCCTGGCTTTGGATTGGCCCAGCCCCAGCCATTGGGTCATTTGGAGAGTAAACCAGCAGAGAGATGACCTCTCTCTGTCTCTCCTTGTATCTTTCTGTAACTCTGCCTCTTACATAAATGAATAAATCTTTAAAAAACAAACAAACAAAAAAAGACATACTTACCTCATCTTTCTTTTCAACCAGGAAAGCAATATGTGTGCCTTCTTTTTATGTCATGGCTGAGAGGGACTTTTAGCCTCAAGGGACATTCCATGTCCTCTCCTCATGCTGTCCACCTCACAGTCTCTGGTATCCTGTCCTCCTCACAGAAAGGGAGAAATCCAAGCGTGCTGTGATGTCTGAGGTCTTTCTCCAGCTGTCACTTTGAAGTTTAAGGTATGTGTCCCTTCCATTGTGTGACTATTGCAAAGATAGTCTTTGTAGTTTGCCATTTGTTTGGTCTGGTGAGAGGGGTGATGGTAAAATCTGAAATTACTTGGCCAGTTTTCTCTGAAAGCCTCAGGTTTATAGTTTGTTGGTTCACCATAGCATGGAAGAACTGAACACTGATTCCGGGTGGTCTCTGGTGGTCTTAATCTGGGTGCCTTGGTTTTTTTGTTTGTTTTGTTTTATAAGATTTATTTTATTATTTATTTGAAAGAGAGTGACTGAGTGAGAACGAGAGATTGGCCATCTGCTGGTTCATTCTGCCAGGGACCACATGCCAGGGCTCAGCCAGCCTGGAATTCCATCCAGGTCTCCCATGTGGATGTCAGGGGTCCTAGTACTTAAGTCATCTTCCTTCCACTGCTTACCCAGGAACATTAACCTGGAGCTGGATCAGAAACGGAGCAGCATGAAGTCAAACCATGGCTCCGATATGGAATGGCAGCATCTCAGGAGGTGTCTTAACCCACTATGCCAAAACACCAGCCTCATCTTGTTCAATTCTCTCAACAGCTTTGAGAGGTAGAGCCATTAGTTTCCTTACTTGAAAGGTTAGGAACTTCTCCAAGTGTGCACAGCTAGCAAGTGGCAGAATTTAATTTTCTCACTTGTAAGATGAGGGGATCAGATTAGATAAGATTTCTGTTCCAGCTCTGCTGTGGTGTGATTCTGTGATTGCAGTGTGGGTTGTATCTAAACAGGAACTCACAGAGACAGAGCTCTTAAACATGACGCGATTCCAGGCACTTCGCATGGGTGATCTCATACAACCTTCACAACACCCAATGAGGCAGGTACTATACTGTTATAGTTCCATTTTACAGATCAGGAGACTAAGGCACGAGGAGGATAATAGCTAAAGTGAAAGAAGTAAGAATTGAATTCAGCTGTCTTACTCCACAGCCTTTCCTCTCAAACATTGCACATACTTTCTCCGGATATGATGTGAATGTGGTCATGGATGTGTATTACTAGGTGAAAGGTAAAGAGTAGAAGAATTTCAATTAGGGAAAATAAAAATCCCACAAAAAATTTAATTTCCAATGTCACTAATGGGATCAAGAGAAAATTATGAGTCTGTCTATCTTCCTGCCCACAGCATCTAACACACCACCAAGCACACAGGAAACAACTAAGAAGTGTTTGGTACATGGACAAATTTATTACCAGCAAACTCCTTTACTTTTTGCATTCTCTAACATCACTTATTTATTTTACCTTTTTCAACTGTGAACTACCCCGCTCCCCAGCGAAAGTACTGGTCAGCAAACTTACATGCTTAGTCATTCCACGTCTTGATAATCAAGAGAATAAACAGTAAACCTCTTGTTAAGGATGGGAGGGACTTTTCCACCACCAAGTGGGTCCTTGGGAAATACTGTTTCCACCTTCTCTGGCGCCCTCTGGTGCTTTGTAGCTGCGACAAATCCAGAGTGTGGCGGCTCCCAGGAGTTGGGGGATTTGCCAGGGATTCTTCCCTGCAGTGCTCTCTCTCTTTCCCCACCCCAATCCCATCTAAGGTACTTTTTGTTCCTAAATGTTGTTCTAATCAGTGCTTGCATCAGTAACCGTGAAATGCTCTGTAATCTGACTTCCTCTAGTCATTGCTAGGTTGTAATTTGCGTTATCAGTTTGAGTTTCCTTCAGGCACTGCTAGAGACACACAGCCTATAGAATGCCTTTATGTGTTTCTCGGAAGCAGGTCCCATGTGCGGCATTTGGCAAGACTGCTTCTCTTCCCAGCTCTCCCTCCCTCCTCTTCCTGAGCTCGGGGCTCCCAGTTTCTTGAGCAGTGTAAGGCGTAGGGAATACTCTCTGGATGAAGAAAGCATACAGTGTCTCCTTTCATTGTTCCTTTTAATTTTTGAAGATTTATTTATTTGAAAGGCAGAGAGAGAGAGAGAGAGAAATCTTTCATCCACTAGTTCACTCCCTCAGATGGTTGCAACAGACAGGGCTGGGCCAGGCTGAAGGCAGAGCCAGGAGCTCCGTCCAGGTCTCCCATGTAGGTGGCAGGGTTCCAGACACTTGGGCCACCCTCCGCTGCTTTTCCCAGGCCATTAGCAGGGAGCTGAATCAGAAGTGGAGAAGCTGGGACTCACAGGTGGCAGCTTTACCCGCTATAACACAGCACCAGCCCCAGCTTTTCCTTTATTTAAAGGAGTCCTCCAAGCAGCACTACTTATGCTTAAGTACCTTGCACAGCTTTTTGTGTGCATGTTAGTGAAACAGGGCTTTTGGCTTTGTAAGTCCCCCATGTACCATCAGACTCTTACACGTGACAGTGGGAAACTAACAGAGGCTGTGGAGGTAAATGTGACAACAGATCCCACATGGTCTCTGGGTCACCCTTCCTTCTGATGACTTTCTTACTGCATGAAGCTGCCTTGCCTGGGCTGGGTGTTTGGCACAGTATTCCAAGGTACCACTTGGAATGCCTGCATCCCATAATTAGAGGGCCTGGTTCTAATCCTGGCTCCTCTGCTTCCCATCTAGCTCCTTGCTAATGCACATTCTGGAAGGCATAGATGATGGTTTAATTAGTTGGGAGCCCCAGATGGCGTTCTAGCCCTGGGGAGAGAACCAGCAAATGGGAGATCTGTCCATCTCTCTGTCTCTTTCAAATAAAAATGAAAATAAGTAAATAAGTGAAATTTGTTTTAAATAAGAAACTTTTCGTACCTGGATCTTTCTTTTCTTTGGAGGCATCGTCTCCCAAGAAGCTCCTCAGACCCCAGCAAGTAGATTCCAGGTAGTCTGTCTCAGTAACTGGACAGATAAGCTCAGGTATTTCAGATTCTCATTAGACCTAAGTTGGCATCTATGCTGTATTTCCATGAACCTGAATAATTAATGGTATTAAAATGATCAATAATAATGGCTAAATTTCCCTTAGCGCATAGATGCAATTTATTTGTTCTAAATACACTGCTAAGTGCTTTATATGCCATAGCTCACTTAATTTTCAGAAGCCCCCTATGCAGTAAGGTATATAACAATCCTCATTTTATAGATAAGGTCACCAAGCTTTAAAGAGTTGACATGCTTTCAGAAACACCATAGCCTTGAGATAATCTATTTGATATAGTTGTCTAAGACAGAAGACTGTAGTTCAAGTGCTAGCTCTTCCACTTTGTAACTGGGCAACTTTCCGTGAGCTAGTTAACCTCTCTGTGCATCTGCTTCAGTGTCTGTGGTAATAATTCCTCCTTCATAAAGTTGTTGTATTCAGTGCATTATTATGTAAAAAGTGATTTAAAGTAATTGGGAAATACAAAGGACTATATAAATGTGGGCTTTTAAAATTTTTTAAAAAATTTATTTGAAAGGCAAAGTGGCAGGGAGGGAGGGAGGGGGAGAGAGAGAGAGAGAGAGAGAAATAAAGAGAGAGATTTTCCATCCACTGGCTCACTACCCAAATGGCTGCAATGGCTGGGAAGCCAGGAGCCAGGAACTCCATCAAGGGCTCCCAGGTGGGTGGCAGGAGCCCAAGTAGTTGGATCATCTTCCTCTGCCTTCCCAGGTAAATCAACCAGGAACTGGCAATGGAGCAGGCATCAAAAGTGGTGGCTTAATCAGTTGTGCCACAATGCCAGCCCCTATAAATGTGTTTCTTGTTTTTGTTTTTCCAGTAAGACAGTTGAAACCCAGTTTTCTTCAGGACACTATATGTCCTAAGGTGAAGACTATGTTCTCTTTATGGATATTATTAGAAAATGGGTATTATTAGAAAATGTGTACCATTAGGAAGTGGATCATAATAACATGTCCTTCCCCAGTGAATTTCTCCTGTAGTTTGGTAGCAGCATCACCCAAGCTATTTTAAAGGGCAAATATCTTTGCTTGTCTATAAGGTCCAGGGATGTTCATGTGTGGACAGCACTGCAAACCATGCTGCCATAGCACTGTGAACTTCCTTAAGGTCTTTCCCAGAATAAGATAATTGCTAATATTCTGCAGTGCTTACTTTATGCTGGATGCTGAGTGCTTTTTTGAATCATCTCAATTCTTCACTGGAAATGCTGTGAGTTAGGTAATTTTTATCATGTGCACTTTATATATGGAAAAAGCAAGACTACACAGACTAAGGCATTTGCCCAAAGTCTGTGCACTGAAGGCTGGCAGAGCCAAGATTTGAGATGAGGAGGAGGGATGCCATGACCTGAACCCTTAACAATAACTTATACAGCCCTCTCAAGTGGTGTTTCATTTAAATTTTGCAGATAAACCTCTGAGATAAACAGATTTTTTACCAATGCCCTCAATGTGTATTGAACTAATCAGTGCGCAAGCCAGCGCTTCTACCTGAATCTCATACCTCAAAAATGTATACTCTGTCATTATTATTGTAGAGAACTTCAGATAGACAGAGTTGGTTTTTTTAATAAGAATTTTTTAATGCATGGGTTTGGATTTATGGCAGGCCGGTTCCCCTGGGCGTCTCATAATATTCCATGGCAGAGCAATCTATGATCCCAAACCATTGGCTGGCATCTGTCCTTAGGTGTTGGCACTGAAGTGGGTTGCACAGTAGAAAAGAAAAAAAGAGAAAAGATTTTTAAAATTTATTTGAAAGGCAGTGAGAGAGAGAGCGCGCATGCTTCCATCTGCTCATTCACTCCCCAAATAGCTGAAATGACCAGGGCGGTGCCAGGACAAAGGCAGGAGCCCAGAGCTTCTTCCAGGTCTCCTATGTAGCAGGGAGCTCGATTGGAGGTGGAGCAGCCAGGTCTCGAACCAGTGCCCATATGGGATGCTGGCTTTGCAGGTGACGACTTAACCTGCTATGCCAAAATGCCAGCCCCCATTTCTTTTTAAGTAAGGTCTTTCACATGCACTTCCTCTTCCTGTTTCCTGCATGCTGCTTCAGACCAAACCCTCCCCCTATAGATTCTTTCAGCAAGAGCTTCCACCGGAAGTCAATCTTGTCTTCATTTCTTCCTGACTTTCTTTATCCATCAGGTGTAGAGTTCATCATGCAACTCTTTTGCTTAGTATCTGCCTAACATTTGTCCTGTTTGCCATGTGCAGTAGGCTGAATGGTAGCCACCTAAAGTTTATGTCCAATTCCTAACCCCTAGAACTTGAGAGTGTGACCTTTGGAAAAGGAGGTCATGCTGATGTCATTAAGGATCTGGAGATGAGATCATCCTGGAGCATTCCGGTGGCCTCAGTCCAACAGCAAATGTCCTGCTAAGAGGAGGGAGGAAAACACAGGAGCATGGAGAAGCCACGTGCAGACAGAGGCAGAGATTGGAGTTGCAGCCACCCACTAAGGAATGCCTACAGCCTCTGGAAGCCGAAAGAGGCCACATAGAATTCCCCAGAGTCTCCAGAGGGCACCGGACCCTGCTGACACCTTGATTTCTGACTTCTAGCCTCTGGAACTGTGGGAGAATAACTTTCCATCATAAGCTGCCAGTTTGTGGCCATTTGAGACATGAGCCCTAGGAAATGGTCATATCCTCTCATCACCTCTTCTTTGGCTTCTCTGCTCTTTCTGTTTTGCATAAACCTTCTGTCCATCTGGTTTCTTCTTCATTGTCTCCTCCCTGGGACGTTCGGATTGCTTTATGTGTCTTCTTTCATGTTGCTTTCTGTGCATTGGAAACAAGACATGCTGGCTCAACAGGATTTCTCCCTGGAAGGGAACTGTCTTTTGAGGTGGGGGTGACACTGGGGATGGAGATGAGATCTCCAAGGACGTGGGGGCGGTACAAGCAGGGCTCCCTCTGCGAGTGAGTTCCTTGCTATGTTTTCTCCTTTTATTACTACTTTCTGGTTTTTTCTTTTTTTTTTTTTAAGATTTATTTATCTGAAAGGCAGAGTTACAGAGAGGCAGAGAGAGAGAGAGAGAGAAAGAGAGGTCTTCCATCTGCTGGTTCACTCCTCAGATGGCTGCTATGGCTGGAGCTGTGCTGATCCGAAGCTAAGAGCCAAGAGCTTCTTCCGGATTTCCCACACAGGTACAGGGGCCCAAGGACTGGGGCCATCTTCCACTGCTTTCCCAGGCCATAGCAGAGAGCTGGATCAGAAGTGGAGCAGCCAGGACACAAACCAGAGCCCTGTGGGATGCCCACAGTGCAGGAGGTGGCTTTACCGGCTATGCCATGGCGTGCCGGCCCCACTTTCTTTCTTCTTCTTCTTCTTCTTCTTTTTTTTTTTTTTTAACTAGCCTCAACCATCCCATGCTGCCTCATGAAAGAGTATGTCTGAGGCTCGTTACTTCACAAATTGTGCCACATCCTTGGGCATCTTCTGTAAAGTCAGAATACTGACAAATGGACCACGACTCTCCTTCTCAGGCTCACGTATAAAATAAGGAAACCTATCCATGAAAAACTTTCTTCCAGAACATCTGCTAAGTGTGAAACACTGCCCTGGAGCTGGGGCTAGAGCGAGGAGATAGATGTGTTGGCCTCACAGAGCAGAGTCTTCCCGCGTTAATGAACACAGGGCTTATCTACTTGGACTTGGCCAAGGTCATACAGGTAGGCAGTGGCTGGAGAGGCTTCAAACCTACTTCTGTTTTGCTTCAAAGTTCCTACTTTCTGCTAGACTGGGTACATCAGTCAAGGACCTGGCAGGAAACAGAGAACATGCACCCATGGGGGCAACTGAGAGCAATTTAGACAGATGATTTAAGGGCTTGGGGAGGGTTAAAGAAAACCCGAGAAGAAGGGTGCTTGCCCCAGTACTAGAAGCAGCAGGAGGCCATTACCACACCTATGTCTAAGGGAGTGAGGTGAGCAGGTGGTTACTGGAGCCCAGAGGGAGTGCCGTAGCCCTAAAGGAGGCCATGAGACAGGAATTAGGAGCTTTGGTAAAGGGCCAGGCCCCCAGCAACCCTGCAGGGAGAATTGAGACTCTAACTTCTTACTCTTCCTGCCTTCAGTCTCCTGCTCTTGCTTGCTGTTGGCCAGATCCCACCAGAAGCCAGAGGACAAGGGTGATGCAGGTCTTCAAGGTCAGCTGAGGGTCGCAGAAGAAGGTACAGAGCTGAAAGTGGGTCAGCAATGCTGGAGTGAATGGAAAATGCCCAGCGCACCAGTGTTTCCCACACCTGACTCATTCAGACCGGACCTTCATGAATTTGTCTTCCTCATGTCCCTATAAGCTCGGCTGTACTTAATATAGTTTTAAACATTTTCTCAGCCGGTGCCACAGCTCAATAGGCTAATCCTCCACCTGTGGCGCTGGTACCCCGGGTTCTAGTCCCAGTAGGGGTGCCGGATTCTGTCCCCGTTTCCCCTCTTCCAGGCCAGCTCTCTGCTGTGACCCGGGAGTGCAGTGGAGGATGGCCCAAGTGCTTGGGCCCTGCACCTGCATGGGAGACCAGGAGAAGTACCTGGCTCCTGGCTTCGGATCAGCGTGGTGCGCCAGCGGCAGCACGCTGGCCGCGGCAGCCATTGGAGGGTGAACCAACGGCAAAGGAAGACCTTTCTCTCTGTCTCTCTCTCACTGTCCACTCTGTCTGTCAAAATAAACAAACAAACAAACAAACGTTTTCTCACTTTCATAATCTTCATTGAATGTATTAGCAGTAACAAGTACTAACAAACCTATGTTAATTAAGGTAATAGTCCACAGAAGAAAACTGTGAAAAATCAATATAACGACTGGAAATCAAGTTTACTAAATTAAAGATAAATAATAGATAAAGATAAATAATAATATTTATAAAGATAAATTAAAAATTAAAGGTAAATAATATTTATAAATGGTTATTTATCTTCTGAGGTCCTATATAATCCAGGACCTACTTGCCTCTCCAGTCTCCTGTCTTCCATCTCTGCCCCATACTTCTATTCCTCCATGGCTTTTTGCCTTCTCAAAACCAGCTATACTCCTATCTGTAACATCTGTAGTACCACTATCTGTACTTTTGCACATATTATTCCTTCAGTATAGATCAGTGAGAGAACAGTCAGGATTGCTAAGGAGGATGAATAATAATAATAATAAAAAAAAGAGGAGTCTTTAAAAGGTTCATGGAAAATGCAAATCATGAAGAAAAAAAAAACAACTATGCACTGGGGCCAGTGTTGTGGCCTAGAGAGTTCAGCTGCCATCTGCAACAGCAGCATCCCATATGAGCACTGGTTCGAGTCCTGGCTGTTCCACTTTTGACCCAGCTCCCTGATAATGTGCCTGGGAAAGCAGCAGAAGATGGCCCAAGTCTTTGGTCCCCTGCATCCAAGTGGAAGACCTGGATGAAGCTCCTGGCTTGGCCTGGCCCAGTCTTGTGCATTGCAGCCATCTGGGGAGTGAACCAAGTGACAGAAAATCTCTCTCACTCCCTCTGTCTCTTCCTCTCTCTAACTTTTCCTTTCAAAAAGAGAATGCATGGATTTCAACATTTTTTCCCACAAAAATATATGCTTATGGTTTAATTTCATTTTTCAAAATACTTTTTGAAGTACTCCCATAAAGCACTATCTGCTAAAAACAAGAATGATGCATTCCAGAAGAAGATTCTAGAACTGGACAGGTATTGCTAATGATTTTGCTATTGATCTGGATATCAGGTTTTTGTCCTGGCACCAACGCTTAACTCTATGCTCTTAGGTCATATATTTTACAGACACTTGAAGAAAATTAACACAGAGGCAGGAAATGTGGACGGATACACAAAAGGCTCTCCACCTTCACACACCTTTGAAAAGGAAAAACTGCTGAGAACATGGTAGATACACTAAATCAGCTGCCTACGTCATTGAACCTAATTCTTGGTTGTATTTGTTCTATGACAGGGGAATATTGCAATATTTTCTTTTAGATGCTTACCTCTACCAAACTCAACCTTTGTGTTCCTAATCAGATATCTTGGTTATGTGACATTTATTTACAGCTCTCCTTTGCAAAAAATTACCCAGCATATATATCCAGCATTAAATGGGGTAATAAAATGAAGACATATGGCCACTGTACATGCCATTTAGCATCCATTCTTCTTTCTTCCTATAATAATGACTTTTACTTTCTTTGGAGATGCTACCTTGTCCCCTAATCTCAGCCATGTGGAGAGAGTTAGGTCCACCCAACTTTGTTCCCTGGGCTGCAGTGACAGTCATAAACTCAAACATGTGGATAAATATTAAAACACATTTAGCAAAAAAAAAAAAAGACACAAAAGAATAAGTCTATGCAATATGATTCTGTTGTTATGAAGTTCTAGAACAGGCAAAACTAAGCCAGGTTGACAGTGATCAAGTGCTAGTGTCTAGGGCAGGAAGGGTTCACCAGGAAGGAGGAATGAAGGTGCTTTCTGGGTTGACAGACATGTTCTATATCTTGTTTTTAGTGGTCCTTACCTAGGTGTATACACAGCTCTCTAAAATCCTGTCTGTGAACCTTAAGAATCTGTGCACTTCGTTGTATGCTGATTGTGAAGTTGGGGTGGCCATTGGGCCTAGTAGTTAAGGTACCACATCGCATATCACAGTGCATGGAATGGAGTCCTGTCTGCACTTCTGATCCAGCTTCCTGTTAATGCACACCTTGGGAGGCAGTAGGTGAGGAGTCAATTAGCT